TCCCTTTCCGGCCATTCGAAGTGATTTTCCCTTAAAGGAATCTTGCGCGGAAAATTCTTGCACTCTTTCCTAACATGAATATGTCAGTTGTGATCACTGGAAATAGCACACAAAGTTTCACGCATGAAGATTCGGTTTCTGAAGAGAAACAAACGTACAAAAACTACACGTTATGGACCATCGAAGGACCAGGAGGCAGAGCCAGGCGAGGCATGGAAAGAAGACGGCGTTTGGCCGGCTACGTACCAGGCGACGCAATGAGAGAATCGGGTTAAAGCGCGCGATTTCGGAGAGTGGAGACAAATCGATCGATGGAATAGGATGGAGTAGAAGTGTAAGATGTGAATGCAACGAAGCAGAAGGCCAGAAAGAGCTTCTAGTGAATGCACTCCAAGAACCAAGTTTGAGCATCCCCGTCGCCAGCATTCGTGAAAGACGTCCGTGGGCAATTCGAACGCGTAGCAGCCTTTTCGAGTTTTCGAATTTCTAATCAAAACGAAAGCAATACTTCAGTTCTTTTCACTATTATCGTGGATAATGAGTCTCAAGCCAGTGATTTATGGCTGAAATAGAATCATGATTTTTCCGCGCAAGATTCCTTTAATGGTAGTCATATAATAATTATGCCCCCATTTTATTTATTCGACATTATGTGATTATTTTGGATTACTTCCTTAACTGCTATCACCATGACCATTTTTTTTCATAACTAGTCGTCTCCTTTTGTACAATAGTAACAAACAAATAAATGAATACAACTTGGACTCCAAAGCGAAGAACGGCAAAAATTCTAAAAGTTTATGTGTGCAACAGAATTTTTGTAGAGGGAGGAAAAAAACATTCAAACCCTGTCTCTGTTGTAAAAGATTATGGAAAGTACGAAGAAGTCCTGATCAGCAGCGTCTCCAACTTTCTGACGAAAAGCACCAATTGTCGCTTGGGGTTAATGCCACATCAAAAAATTCTATATAAAGTAAATAGCTATTAATTGACCACTTTTAAATAATGTATGCATATATTATAAGTTCAATATGAAAGTTGGCACCCAACACTGTGTGCCATTGTCGCCTAAGCGTTGAATATTATGTTAAAACAACATTATGTTCCATAATTTTGTTTCCCTTCTTACTTCAGAACATAAACATGAAGTGCTTGGTGCAGGCTAATCAAGCCCTTCCGAAATGCGCCATGCATTCTACTTCCAACATCAAATCTAGTGAGCATGAACGGCGACCCTAGGCTTCAGAACGAATTGCCAGAGTCCAGCAGCGATTTTTGGGTGTTTTATTCTTTATGTAAGTCTCGCAGGAATCAAACAACAGAAAAGTAAGAAGGATTGGGGCTTCGGCAGAGATTCGATCCAGATTTGATTAGGGATGTGGGCGTACTGAGCCGCGCTACTTGGAAACCCACCACTCCCAGATAGTGAATGTAAATACAGCCTGCGAAATCGTTCTACCAAACCACGTGGGTATTTTTGCGAACCTGAAGTTGAGGAAAGCACTGCCTTCATTATCCGGTAAAGCATGTGGAAACTCAGGGTTGACCTACTTCTTTCCACAAATATGCACTTTATCGACGTTCCTCTCACATCAAACGGTCTTCTTCTTGCTACTCCTGAATTTGAAATGGCCTTCCAATGTATGAAGATTGTTTATGGTAGCACTCTTAACGTTACAGCTGTAATAAAAAGTAACTGATAATCTGACCATTTTTATCAAAGAACAGCAAACTTCGCTCTTTGGAAGTCCCTGGGCGATAAGGGGCGCTGACAAGTGGAAAAAAGAGCTATCACAATAATTTGTAGGCGAAAACGGGGCAGGAGAAGAAAAAATGGGGTAATAAAAGAACATGACATAGAAAGAGTACGACTTAAAGAGTAATGCAATGAAGTTGGTTTGGCCTTTCTACCCGCCAAGAGCGGATCCTTGCTCATTCTGCAGAGAGACCAGTACGTTGATATTGGATCAAAAAATCTTATGATGCCAGCTGCGAATGTAGCCTTAGCGAATAGGGCAGTCGCTCGCTAGGCGCGGTTCATACCAGCCAGTAGGGGAATTCGCTAGCCGCGGCGCAAACACTAGCGAATAGCTCGATTCGCAAAGTCTCATATCTGCCATTCTGTGCTTTGTGGTGTCGCTGAATATCTGATGTCACGCCTGTGTTGTTACTTCTGCATTTGTGACTCATCTAAGCACAGAAACAATGTTATGCAAGCCTAATTTGGTCTATCTCTTTAACGGTGTAATCTTCACCCAATACTGTGCATATGCACTGGACTGCTACACTAGTTCCGGTAAACAATTACTGTTGTACAAAGCTTAATCCTGCTTTATATGCACAGAATGCGGAAAAAGTATAAGCCGCCTAGAAACATTATATAACTGTTCGTGTAAACACAACATTTACCATATAACTTCCACAGCTATTAACTGGTAACTTCGTCTAACTAACAGGTCTAACTGACCCGTTGTAGAAGGCCTCGCTGCAGGTAACCATAAATTACAATAAACATAGTGAAGTTGGAACGCTTAACGGGCGCATGCATTCAATCCTGATTTTAATGGTTTGAATGGGTATTTGATCTCAATGGCCTTAGGGAATACTTTGGCCACTGCTACTAGACCATCGTATTACCTCAACATCGATTAATTATAATGAATTATAATAATTTCGAATAGATGAAAGCATTGTGGCCCGGGTGTGAGGGGAGGGGGAAGGATTTGATGCAGGGGAATGCAGGGAATGAAGCGCCACCTTTCACAACTGCGCTATTTCTACCCGAACTCCATTTTTTAATGTAAACTGTCCATCAGTAACACTGAGTGATCAACAGTCAATCCACAGCATCCTATAAACTTTGTTTTGATGCAAAATTGAGCTTGAAAAAATACTCAATGAATAAGGAGTTGTAATGGCAGGACTTTGAAAAGTTATTCCCACAATTGGCTCAGATGGTTTCAAAACACCTTCTCAAGAATGAAATAATGTCCTTCCATCTGAGATGGCCCATTTTCGACGCATATTTAACGATCAATTCGAGTGTTCGAAAATGCCCCGTTTATCGTTTTGATGACTAAATATGCCGAAAACTGCTGGAAAATGTTCTCGTTGACGACCTGCGGCGCTCCAAAGGACGGGCCTTTCAGGCCTTTCCCGTAAACCCTTGAACACCGCAGGAACTCTCGGAGCTGTCAGGTATCATTGACGCCACAGCCTGCTCTATTTTGTTCCCAAGTCCATTAATTGAGGAATAAACTTTCCTTTCTCCTCGATAAGATTGTATGTAATTGAATTTGAGTTTTGTTGAAAATCAGTTTTCGTTGTGTTTCAGAAAGGGCATTCTATGCGAAAGGGGCCCCGTACCACGGCAGTTGTTATTGATCATCGAAAGAGTGTGTTCAATCTATTATATAGTACCCAACTAAGAAATCAACAATGTTCGCACCCAGAGGTAAGCTTCAATCAATTACAGTTCAAGTAAGAAGTTTAAACCAATAATCTGATTTCAGGTCGTATGCTCAATTGTCTCTTGGTTTTCGGTTCACTAGGTGCTGTTGTGAACTTTCCAGTAAGTTTCTATTCAGTGATTGCCGAGGCACTTCTGACGCACTGAATTCATCGCCGAGAGTTGTGAATCGCCTTAATAAGACATCCCAACCATGAAGTGCTCAGTACCATCCCTTTTCATCCACCTTTACTGGCTATCATCGGTTATACAGAAATGCTAGAAAACTCGTTACCGCCCAATTCGAGTCCATTTTGTCCCGACGACCTCTCTCCATCGCCCGTTACTTCTTCATGCCTACGTCTACCACTTTCCTATCTCTCTTCTTCCCTAACTGTCTCTTCCTCGTAACTCGCGCAGTTTTATTCCACTTCACATGATTATGTAAATTCTAGAATGAACAGAAAAAGGAGAGAATTATCAAGGGCGTCTTTGCAGGTTTTTTTTTTGATTTGTTCCAATTTACGAGTAGTTTAGCAACTACGGTATTGATTTTTAACCCCACTCCCACATTGAACCATTATGCCTGTGCCTTCTAACTTCGTTGTGGGCAAATGACGCACGTAATATAAGGAAACCTCGAATAAGTAAGAAGCGCGAGCCGGCGAGCCAAAAGGAAATAAGATGAAGTAAACAAAGAAAGCTTTATGCTGTCACAGCACCCGGAAAGCGCATCAAACAAATCTTCATACATTGGAGTTCCAGCGACTATATACCTCGAGCCCATTTCGTATTTCTTAATTCGCATTTATACCACTATCATCTCAATCAACCCTTAAGGCACAACCCAGCGCAGAGGTATGTAAGTACCTGAACGATCGTATGAAATTCGCCTGTCGGTCTGCAATAGATCGCCTGGAGGACAATCGTAATGTGTGACATCCCCCTGCAACCCGATACACAATTTAAAGGCACGAGATCGTGATTCGATCGCGATGTTTATCCTATCTTAATACATTATGCAAGGGTTCAATGAGAAACATGGTGAGGAGAGAAACATAAAAGCATCCATAGAAAAAACACACGAACTGTCGAAAAACCACGTTTCCCGATATTCAAAGAGAAACCGCCGCCCGTAGATCAACGAAGCGGAGACGACACTCGGACGCTGCGAGCGGTGGCAGAACCGACAACGGACGCAAGAGCACCATTATGACGCAGGTGGATATTCGCTGCCACCGCCCGGCGCAAAAAGCGGCGCGGGAATACCTTAAGCGCCCGCTTAGGCCGAGCTTTTGGTCGCGATACCTGCCCAGCGGCCCTCGAGTGCTTGGGAGACCCGCCACCTACCGAACCCTGAGAAAGAACCCTCAGCGTTGGTTGCCTAAATCTGATTCGGGCTAACCTATTAATAATACCGCCAGGGCTCTTCCAAACATGAGGCTAGAGCGCAGACGCACATTTTTCAGTTACAAGCTATTGCCTGCCCTCTCATCTGTAGCGCTCTCTCGCCTCATACTCTCCTCTCCGCGCTTAGTCTCTCATTCCCTTAGCACAGCCGATTAGGAAGGTGAGTGAGCCCTTAACCTAAGCGTTTTCGACGGATTCTTTCCTTTTTTCTTTACTGCCGGCCCATTTCGCACCAATACATTCGCATTCGTGTGCAAGAGCCACACCATTTGATCCTGGGGCATGCCTTTAAGAGCGGATATGGGTAATGAGCACTAAAAAAGAGTGGTTTGAGAAGTTCAAAAGCCATTATACTTATATTAAGCATAGCATAAATTGAAGCGCCGAAAAAAAGGATTGCAAAATCTTTATGCTTATGCAGAATTTGCCATTTTCAGGAAGGATATTCAAATTCGTATCCGAACACTTCATACAAGTCGTTCCAAACGATGATCAACGATTCCTACATCAGACGAGGGGATGAGGTAGTTTTGAGTTTGATTCTTCTCAAAAAAATATTCGTCCAAAAAAATCATGAAATGGGTCTGTCTGAAGAGAGGGAGTGAGTTGGGAGGGGGAGGGGTGCTCTGTGGTGCAAAGCTTCCAAGTATTCAGAATAACCACCAAGAGTTTGCTTCTCGATTAATATTGAGAAACAATATTATTCACCTAGTTCCATTTTCACAAGCTCAGAATTGGTTCACTCACCCTAGGTTCCCTGCAAAAATTCGGATTTCTGGAGTAGGCACGAATTACTGCCCCAAAGTGCTTTCCTACCTCCCCCTCCTGCTTCATATAGACCCTATCCAGTAACGAAGTAGTGAAATACAACTTCCAGGCATATAAAAAAGTTGTTGGTGAAAAAAGAAAAGCTGTTTAGGATGGAATCTCTCCCACGCTCTTCATGTGGGTATGGTCGGCGATTTTGAACGTGTGGTTCATCGGCTATCTGCTGGGAACATTCGTCACACCTTACTTCACGGAAAATTACGGACGAAGAAGTTAGTAGGTTACAATTAGCCAAAGTAAAGAACGTGGTCCGGAGTCGGACATTTATGAGTGACTCAACATAACGAAATAAGGTCGCAAGCGTCTGGAGAGAACTCGGGTCTATTCCAGTTAGGGGGCATCATGATGCAGTTTCTCGGCGAACTAGTGTAAACTCGAACATTCCAGCTTTTCACGCATGTCAAGTGACTGCCCTCACCCCCCCCCCCCCCTAGACTGGCTACACTCCCCCTGGCTCGGAGTTACCGTAGCTTTCTGGAAAAACTGCATCATGATCCCTAACTGGAATAGACCTGAGATCTCTTTCACTAGGC